ACACACATACATACTATATATATATGTAGAAATAACGAGAGCTCAAAGTCTAATATTAAAGACTGGACTGTCAGCGACATGAGGCAGCCTTCAGGATGAGACATTTATAAACTCTAATGATTTTACTGAGTTGAGGATTGTGTGGTGTTTAATGTTGTTATTGTTTGAAACAGTTTTAAAGTCATAAGATGATTTTAGGTGTTTAACTAAAGGTGTAGGAATATTACCCTGAGTTGTAGGCGGGACTTGATAACTGGAGCCAATAATAATTCATCAGTTTCTGACATTCAGTGTTTGTTTCAGGCTTTGTTTCCTGTTTGTTTTCTGGTAAATAAAATGTAAACATACAATAAATCAGATTTAGTCATGAAGTCCTTGTGGAACTGTTAGGTTTTCTGCAGCAGCTGTAAATATGAGCTGTTTTTGACTGTGTTGGTTTTTATGTTCAGGAACATCTTTAATTTTTGAGTGTGATTACATCGATGTTACCTGGATTTGTTTTCTATTAACTTGCTACAAGTTCTGCATCAGCTGAGCAGAAATAACTTTAACCACACTTTTAAAACAGTGAACATCTTTGATAATTCACTTATGAGTTGTACCAACAACAACAACCCAAACTTGAATTTGATGTTTTTAATATTTTCTGCTCAACTTTTAGATAAACTCCAGTCCTTCAGTCAGCAGCTGCCCAACGATGCACTGCTCCTGTACCCACCCTCGGCCCACTGTCCCACCACAAACCGTTGTCCAGAGAGGGCCTACACCACCATGGTGTCCGACATCAGGGTCACCTGTCCCAACAATGACCTGGCCAGGAGGGCAGCAGGTAAATAAGCTAAGTGGACATTGTGTGTTGTGTAATCAACCATCTCCTGCTGGCAACAGGTTAGACCTGAGAGGAGCTGCAGGGGCCAGGCTACRGTTGGACCTTTTTAATTACAGAAGTTGTTTCTGATTTGATTCAGACAGGTCAATCACCAGATTTAAGTCAAACTTCCTGTGTGCAGTGTGTCTGGTTTTCTGCCACAGTCCAACAAACTAAAGAATCAAACAGGAAACGTGCCTGCAGGCCCAGGCAGACTTTAAACAGAGCTCTGTGGTCTCAGTGGGATTTACCTGGGTAAGGAAAGTTAATAATAAAGTCAATAAATCATTTAGTAGTTTAACAGTCTGGGTCCAGCATGTGCCAAGTGTTTTTATTTATTAACCTTTATTTAAGCAGACAGATCCCTCAGATCATAGAGGTGCTGGTCCTGAAAACATCCTGACATCATGTCAGCCTCACAGCTTGGTGTGGAGGAACCAGAGGACCTGGAGGAAACCCAACGTGCCACATGCTGGACCCCCACAGATGTTAGGACTCTGCCTGGTCCTGGGGGGCCGGTCCTGTGTCCRTTCAATCTTTGAAAAAACATTTGTCACCTTTTCATCCAGCAGCTGCTGATGGTGCCGGGTTCCTGAGCAGGTTCTCTTCTGCTGGGCCGGTGGTCAACCAAAGCTAACGAGCCCCACCTGCTGGTGGCCTTTCAGCTTATTCAGCCACACACACACACACACACACACACACACACACACACACAC